GACCACTGATTCTTCAAAAGACAGATATACAAGATTTTTTTTAGTGCAATAAATATTAACAATTTTTTATTTTGTTCTTTTAAAATTATTTCAGTAGTATTCTTTTGACTAGTTTTACTACGTTCAGTCATCTAGTAGTACCTAACTAGGAAAGAAGTTAGAGAGAAAACACTCAGAATAAGAAAGTGTAAAATTGTGGGTGGATGGGGAAGAAAGATGTAACAGTAAATTAATACTTACTAACTGAAAACAATAGGTATCTAAGGTAAGCAAAAACACTTCCATCCAGATCACAGAACAAAGGAATTTGTAGGTGGTGTAAAGGTTTGGCTGCTAACTATAGATTTAGAGGTTCCAGTTTACCCAGGGATATCTTGGAAGAAAGATCTGATGATCTGCTTCCAAAAAATCAGTATTGAAATAACTCAGCAAAGAAGAGCAAGAATGGCTGCACAATGAAATCAATGTCACTGAATTGTACAAGGAGAAATCGCTGAATTTGTGTACGTTTTGCTGTATTTTCAACAACAAAAAGCAAATAAAGTATTAAAAATCAGCCACTGACAACAAACTCTATATATAGTGCATAGTTGTACTTTGATACACACAGAGTCACTGTGAGACAGGGATAGTATGAACTGCAAAATGATTACATCACTTTTTTTGCAAAACACTGGCATGGAATTCAGCACAGGACAAGTATTTGGTCAAAATTTCTCAAAGAATATCACTGCAAAAAATCCCAAAATGTAGTTTCCAATGCCTATTTTCTCTGAAATAAATTAGCAGGTCTTTCCTGCAAGAAGCCTCTTGGATGGACTCTGACCTTTCTGTTAGCATGCCAGGGACGTCTCTCAAAGAACTAGAAGCTCTTAAACTAACTACTATGCCACCTAGAACATAATTTTTTTTTAACTAGCAAGATAACATGCTTTTCAAAAACTATTTGAAGGATTTTCTAGATAAAGAACCAGTGTTATTTTGAAAATCACAAGAACACCAAGGATTCCAAAAATTCCACATTCTTTAGTGGGTGAGATACATACTTGATCATTTCTTTTTCTAACAAATGAAATGTTGTGGTTCAATTATTCTTTATAAAAAAATATAAAAACAGTATCACGTACAACTGACCAAAAAGGAAGAAAAGAAATTTTCCTGCACATTTGAATCATCATCCATTCATGAAAGCTGAAATATCTAATTGCAACAAAATGGTAGTTCTCTAGTTATGGGTTTTGCTTTTTTTCTGAAAAGCTTGATTTTCACCAAATATTTAGCAACTTATTTACTTATAAAAATATATGCCATTTTAAAAATTACAGTTGTTTTCGTGCAACAATGAATGAATGAAAACCAAAATCTCTGTAAATGTTCATTAAAATTAATAAAATTGAATAATAAAAAAAATTAGTTGTTTTCATTGTCAAGTCAGCTTTAACATTAAAGATAAAAACGAAGCATAAAACTAGGTCCCTGAAGATATTATTTATTTTATTACTCACTGCTTATTCAAAATATAGGTTTATAAAAGCAGATGTTAGCTACTCTTCAAGGTAAGAAATTAACTCAGTTGCAACAGATAAACTTAGTGAAACAGAACAGTCAGAGTCACTATAGAGCCTGGAATGCCTGTTCTGAGCTTTAAGATATTAATAAGGAAAAAAGTTCTACAAATACAATCTATAAATGAATAGAGTACTTGAGGATGAAGAGTATGGTTTTCTGAAAGCATCAGTGTGTTTCACATTTGGAAAAATACACTACAGCGGAATTCTCCCTGAACCTGCCCTGTCTTTTTTTGGGAGCTGGGAGCCGAATAAACAGTGAACTCAAGAAGGGGCAGGCTACATATGCTGAATACAACATTCACCTATAATGAATGACAGCTAAGACATTTTTAAAACATCTGTATATATGGAGGAAAAGATGTAGAAACTAAAGCCAGACACTACCTAAGGAACTGCTGTTGTGTACTGTAGAGTCAGAACCTATCCAGAGCTGACCCTCCAGCGGGTTTTCAGAGGCAGTAAACCTACCAGTGTTGACTGAACACCTTTCTCACACAGAGCAGCTGGTGGATTCAAACAGTGTACCTTGCGGTTAGTAGCACAATTTATTACCACTAAACCACCAGACCAAAGGAATGGGGTGGGGGCGGGGGTAGGAACGCAGAATTCATTCTATTTTTTTTTTTTCTTGAATTCATTCTACTTTTGAGGTGTGATTTCAGAAATCATTTGTCAGAGGGATGACTTCAATAAAGGTGGTCCAGTGGTAAGGTAAACTTTGACTCTCGTACTTTGGCCATGTTGCTGGGAGAAGGTATTCCTTGGAAAGGGACATCATGCTTGGAAAGTTGAGAGTCAGCCAAAGAGAAAGAGCTCCAAAGAGATGGATTGATAAAGTAACTGCAGCAATGGGCTGTGTGTAAGAGATGATGAGAATGGCACAGGAATAGGGCAGGATTCAGATCTGTTGTTTACAAAGTCGCAATAAATTCTATTCTTCTACTCAGAGGTATCTAACAACCGTGGTTAAGGAGCTGCACTGCCAGTCCAGAGGCATTTGAATGCACCAGGTGGTCCTCGGGAGAAAGATGGGCAATCTACATCTGTACGATTTACCACCCTTGAAAACCCGCTGTGGGCCAGTACTGACTTAAGGTACATAACATAATAGAACCACTGGCCCGTCTTAGCTTATGAAATCAGTGATGACATTTTTAATAAATGAAACTCATCTTACTGCACAAATGAAGGAGTGGAAAAGAATAATTTTGGGCAAAAGATGAAACAATGATGAAAGTATGAAAAGTATAATAAGCCAACAAACAGGAAAGAAGAACAGAATCAATTTGCAGCATGAAAAAGAATAAGGTTAAGAATAAGGTCATACAAAAAAAAAAAGAATAAGGGCATACACCGAAATTAAGGGGAAGAGTAAATATATACAATTTTATAACATGTGATAAATAAACGAATAATTTCAAAATGTACTACAAGCAGTTTCTTTTCTACAAAGAACTGTAATTAATCGCAAGGAAATGGTTTTGTCTCATTCAAGTCTTCAGATAGCTAGTTCAACACGGAACTGTCTTTGGGACGGGTAGCACTACTACCCTAATTTTGAAATGTAGGAGTTCGCTAAATAGATTGGCTTAGTGAGTTGTAGGCTAACGACCTACAAAAGGCTGCTAATCTGGGGTGCCAGGACTCCCGCGCCCACTCTTCCTTGCTTCACCCCCTTCTCAAGCGCATCCTTAACTTTCAGCCAACAGGTTAAAGCCCAGTGGCCGACGCGTCGATGAAGGTGTAAAAAAGTATCTGATTTCAGGTAAGCAAAACTTTGCTGGTCCCCTAGAGCCACTTTAAAAGCGAGTGAGACCACCTTCACTCCTGGCACCTGGAAAATGACGAGTCAGGGATGTTGCGACCACCTAAAACGCCTCCCACTCCAGTCCCGCGCCGTAACAGGCCTGAATGAGCAGCAGAACAAGGCTTATCTCCTCCCCCGCGCCCAGCGCTGCAAACAAGGCCTGACCAGACGTCTACTCCCAGCCTAAGGGTTTAAAAGGGAAGCGGCCAAAGAACGGCGGTGCGGACCTCACCCCAGCTTCCAGGGCATCGCGCTCCCGCCGGCAGCGGCGCCGCCCCGACCGCCGTTCAGACCCGCAGGCGACGCAGCGCGGCCAGGCACGTCGCACCTCAGTGACGCAGCGCCGCGCCCTGGCGCGTGAGCGGGGACCGTGCCGCCGCCGCCTGCGCTCGCGCTCGCCTCGGGCTCCACGCTCCTCCGAGCCCGCGGGGCTCGCCGCTCGCGCCCCAGAGCCGGTGTGAGAGGCGAGCGGTGGCGGGGAAGGTTACCAGACGCCTTATCTGGCCGGCTTCTGGGGGCCCGCCTCCACGGAGTGGCTTTGGCTACAGCCTGGCGCACTCCTGCCCCCGCTGGCGCCATCTGCACCACTGGCTGCCCAGGGCCCAGCTAGGGACAGTGGCCGCATTGCAAGTTCAGGTTTGCTCTAGGGCAAGTCCAAGCCACCACCTGACTAGGCTGCCAACTTCCGGTGATTACGGTACACAAAGTCCATCTTTCATTTATAATTAAGTGGAGACGATTGAACTCACGCCCACCGGGCTTGCTGCAAAGCATAAATAAGGATATTTCAAAAGTAACCCGCAGAGTCCAAAATGGTTGTGCTGATGGCGGTAAATGCTAGTAAATGACAGCTATTATTATGGTAAGGAAGCCCTGGTGGTTAAGTGTGAGACCGCTAACTGAAAGTACATTCAAAGCCACCAATCGCTTGGAGAAATTTGTGACAGTCTCTTTTTATTTATAACCTTGTGGGGTTCGTTCTATTTTATCAGATTGTTGTTGTTGTTGTTATGTGCCGTCGAGTCGCTTGCGACTCAGCGACCTTAATGCACAACAGCTCTAAACTCTGTCCTGTGCCAGTCTCACTGGCTCAACACACTCATCCCGATTGTCCCAGTCACAAATCAGTCCATCTCCCAGAAGGCCTTCCCTTCCTGCACCTGCCCTCCACACTCTCAAGCATGATGTCCTTCTCCAAGGACCAGTCTCTGCTTACAACATTACCAAAGTATGTCAGACAAAGCCTCAGAATCCTTGCCTCCAAGGAGCAGCCCGGTTTAACCCTCTCTAGGATGAATCTCTGTTTCCTTAGCAGTCCATGGCACCCTCAACACTCTTCTCCAACACCAAAGCTCAAAAGCATGAATTCTCCTTCTATCCTCCCTGATCATTGTCCAGCTCTCTGACGCATAACAAGTGATTGCAAAGACCATGGCCTGTA